ATCTATCTCTCTCCCCCTTCCCTCTGTCAAACAGCTACCTGTAATAACCTGTTCGCAATGGTTTCTCATTTACGAACATCTTGGACAAAATTATCAACGATATTTCCTGCGCGATAACAAAATATATCCATCGATTACGTGTTCGCGACTGAAACCCCATAAATTCAATCCGATCGAATTTGTCACGTGATAAAACACGGGGCGGCGATGATCGCTAAACGCATTATTGCCACATTAATTTTCCGCGGGACAGCTTGGCCTCGCGATTCCTCGTCCAACGAGAGGTCGATATTATTTGCCCCTCGAAAAATCATCTCGTAAACCGTTGGACAACAACCGCTATTTTCGTAGCCCGGGCCCCGTGACTCACTCGAAACACGAGACACGCGTCGTTGCATCGAACTTTCTCCGGTTTCCTCTCTCGCTCCTTCTCTCTGCACCTCTCGCGCGTCGTCGACGATCCTCTCCGCGAGGGTATGTTTAGATTCCGGAATTCGCGTCTCATCCCTACCACCCACACGTGAAACTTAGTCCCGCTGTCTCCCGGTAAGTGTCGAATTACCCGTTTCTCTGAGTTTCCATGCGGGAATTGAATCTGCGTGGATCGAGACCTCGCCCCGCAAATGTTCAATCGAGGGTTTTTTCTTCGGACGCGGGTTGTGTCATTGATGACTGTTGGGGAATTGATTAATCCCTTCTCTTCTAATGTCAAGTAAGAGCCACGATGAATGTTTTCAGTCGCATTCGACTAATCTCAATGTTATTTATTTGTTTTTATAGTAAATCAAGTTGTTTATTATTCATATTTAATCTTCAGAGTAAACGTAGACAAGATAAGCATCAAATTCCTTGTTTTTTACTACATTATTAATGATAAAATGGTTTTGTCGAACCCAGTTACGAAAGAAATCTTATTAAGGCAAAAGGTTAAGACAATTGCTTTCTTAAAATTACTCTTTACCATTGGACTTTACTTCCTATACTTTTGCATTGTTAAATTTGCAGCATTGTATTTTTTAGATGTATTATGGAATTGATGATACGTTTGATGAAACAGGAAATAATATATTTTATTCATTTTTGTTCATTTTGATTGGTGTAATGATATGAATGGGTAGATTAATTCATCCTCCCATAGTAGAGTCTACATATTACATCGACATCCCGAAGAATTATTGTCTTAACAAATATAATAGTAATACGTCAAACGTATAGCAATACTATTTAACATTTAGTTCATATTTGCACTTGCATTTACATCTAATACATGTATTTCACTATTCAATGTCATAAAATCTATTCACAATTTACTACAAAGTATCTCATACTGTTAATAAGTCAAAAAATAAGATCACTAATACTATGATTTTCACTTCACTGTAAAAACAAACTCTAAGAAAAGGTATTTCTTAATAGAGAACCCTGTATTTATATAACAAAAATATTGAAAGACTAGATACAGTAGAATATTCGATTATAAGAGATCCTATTATAAAAAGACTAAGTAGAAGTACTTGTATTCACTGTAAACTTCACGTAGCATCGAGCATGTCACCTCGATCGAAGTTTAACTTCACCGACACGCATAGATGGTCTTGAATCGTCTACAATTCGCCATCCCTCTTCCCTGCAAGCCCTGTAACCTATAAAACCTAGATCCATTTGACACCAGTATCCTGACCCGAGCGCATATATTCTACCCGTTACCCGGCGCATTTGTATGCACATACAAGTGTGTGCATTCAGGTTATTCGTCCGCAAGCTGGGCTCTCGAGAATCCTAACCCCTATTTTGGACCCAGCTCCGTTTATACGCCGCTTCCGATTCGGCTAGTCGTTCCAGCGTTTCAAAGACAACCCTCCCTGACCCGTTCTCATCCCTGGAACTGGGCCACGCTGATGTATCTGATATTTAAATGTAATACATACAATATAACTATACTTTTCGGTCAGAAAAATTCCGGTCTTTGAGTAGAGGCTTTTTTATACTTCTCTGTAATTATTTCTAATCAAACTTAATTACTGTTAATACGATTTTATCTTGATTAATGGTCTTTTCCTTATCGGTAAAGATTTATTTGGTCATTCCATAAATAATGTGGTTTTTTATGTTTCATTTATTTTTTAAAATAAAGATAAACAAAAGCTTTTATAAATTAATTATAATGCAGAGGAAACCGAAAAACAAAAGTGTTTTAGATTACAAAGAGTTTTGTTTACCTTTATTTTTAAAAATAACAGAAATATAAAAGACCGATTATTTACGGGGTGAGCCAATACTTTTATAAGATTGTGGCTCGTATTACTTGTTTATGAACTTTCAAACTGATTTATAATAAATCAGTTTATAAATAATACGTAACGATATTTAAAATGTAACTAAATAATAAATAATAAATAATAAATAATAAATAATAAATAATAAATAATAAATAGTAAATAATAAATAGTAAATAATAAATAATAAACATTTGCTTTATTGTTACTACATATAAAAGAAAAAGTAATGTTTAGTTCTTTAAGTATCAACACTTTTTAACTGCTTGATACAGTTAACAAGACAGACAACCAGAAATTACTGGCTATCCTGAAAGTCGAAATACGATCAACCAATTCACTGTAATTGGCGTTGGTCCCAGTTTTACACTGCACAGAATTTACCCCGCTTCCAATATGATCAGACGTTTCGGCATTTTAGAAATACATAACTCGCTAGAACTGGGCCATACTAACGAATTTTTAATTGTGTACGCGAATAGTGGTGGGATGCTGTTATCCAGGCTGGTTTCGCGAAACTCCTCGAGTGAGTTTCGTTCAATCTCCCGCTCTTCCTTCTGCTCCGCAAAACCCTCGCAGTCCCCTTCGCCCCGCAACCACTTTAAGATACGCTCGCGGTATGAAACGCAAAACGGTTCCAGACTGAAATTCCGTTGTAACGAGTCTTTCAATAAAGCGAATGCTTTATCCCTTAAAACTTTTAACGACCCTGCGAACGTAAACTTTGCTTAGATTTAACTTTTACCAAACTCGAGCCACCACCAACCGTCCCCACCCCCCACCCCATCTCTTTCCGTTGCCGACTCTTCCACCCACGCTCTCTTTTCGCTTCCCAAACTGTTCGGTTTCCTTCCCGCCGCTGCCTAACCGTAAGACAATCACCGTGCGTAGCGGTTCGTTGATTCCACGTTTATTTCTGATTCGCATTTAGCAAGCACTTCCAAGTTTACCGGTAAATTACCGCGGCCTTCCAGGGGAAAACTTGAAATCGTACCTAATTTATTGAATCGCCTATGAAATTCTGAGTGGCTCCGCTCCCTTTCCGCTTGTTAGCGCAAACGAACGGAATGTTTAATTGCGATTTAACGATTGTTTGCGCCGGACCTCGTGCCGACCTTTCGGGAAATTTCAGTTCGCGGGCAAATTAAATAATTCGTTGACGCACGTGAACGGATATCGACATCCTTTCAGCCCGGAAATATCTTCCGGGACGTTGCTGTTTTTAACACTTGTTCTTTTTTGTGCACGGTGATGTGACAATGCTGGATTGACAGTCGAATATTGTAATGAAAATATTGGTTATTTTTAGTGTTATTCATAGCGATGGTAAGGTGATTAATGATTAGTTGATAGCATATTGTAAAGGTGAAGTTTGAACATGACGTAAAAGATAGAAACGTGTGTTGTCTCTTATGTAAATATTTATATCAATAGTATTACAGTTAATGTAATTAAACTGACCATATAGAGTGAGGTTTTGTTTGTGGAGAAGATGAAAGTAATATTTGTAAACAGACTTGATATTTAATTGAATCGGAAGAAGATTTATAATTTAAACATATGATTTTATTGGAAATTGGTTGGTCGCATGAAAATTGTTTATTAGCAGAACGTTTGATAAAGGTGTTTGATTTTATTATATAAAGTTATCATTTACCTTCTGCTATCTTTGACTTTAAAAATTATGTGTTCTAGATGATTGAACTATACGAGAATAAAATGTGACTGTAAAAAACAGAGGAGATTTTAAGGTTATTTTCATTGATCAAAATTTATGTTTATATCTATGAAAATAAACTTTGGAAACTATTGATTTTAGAATAAAGCGAATCATTGGTATTCTTCAGTGTTGAAAATTGGCTACATGAGAAAACACTTTGAAAAGATATCCGACAAATTTTATGAAATTTTGAAGAAAGTGATTCT